AATGGGCCATGCCATTCCAGCTGCAATTGATAAAAGTGGCATATGATAAAGGGGGGGGAGGGTTGACATGTACAGTAGTAGAATGGAGTAAACAAAAGAAGAAGAAGAAAAACTCCAAGCTTTTTATTTATCTTTGTTCTAGTTGCCTTCTCCTTCACCATTTTATCCATTTCTGCCAGCCCTCAGCCCTGTGCTCAATCAAACTAGCTGGTCACCCATCACTCAAGTCAGAAAATGAAGCACTGAGAAAGCAAAGAATTTCTACTCAAAACCCATCGCTCCAGAGCATGGTGGTAACCAGGCGGCGAGGGGGATGTGTTGGGTGTGGGTGCTGGAAGCATCTCCACGGCCCTCTCATGGAATGATTCAGTCTGTAGCTTCTGCCTAATGGTAGAACCAGTCCTGCCTTCTGTCTCCTCAATACTGGTGACATGAGGTAGGAAAATGACACAAACCGAGTGATGCAGTTGACCCTGTTAAACAAATTAAGTGTCAAAAAGTGTCAGAAATTTGTTAACTATTTCCATTGCTGTTGCTGTACTTTTGCTTCCAAGGATGGAAAAAGATATTTGTGGGATTTGTTCCCTAATGCATTAAAGGAACCTGGTTGGCTTTGGATACACTGTGCAAGCTGGCTCGATGAAGTCGGGCGCCATTTGAAATTCCATCTGAGGCAACAGTACAATGGACTGGCTGGGCACATCGAAGGCTATTCAGTTGTCAGATGAATTTAAATGCCCAAGGAATGCAAAGACAATGGGATAGCTTGCAAGTACTGGGCCCATATTCTAAACTGTTAAAACATTGCATTCTATTTAATTAATATTAAGCCGTGTAGCCAGCTGGATAGCTCAGTGAGTCAGGTATCTGACTGTGGAGCCAGAGTTTGGGAATTCAATTCCTCACTGTGCATCTTAGAAGAGCCAGCCTCTGAGGCCTTGGACAAGCTGCACAGTCTGGGGGAACACCTGACAGAAGAGAATGGTAAACCACTTCTGAGTACTCTCTATGTAGAATGTGATGGAGTTGAAGCAGTATGGGATATGTAGTCAGAGAAATGTAAGATGGAGTCAGATAAGTTCTGTGTGAAGATGATTTGAGAGACATTGGAATGTGTTTTTTGACGTGCTAAGAGAGTGTTTTTCTGAAGACCAGTACAGTGTGGTTCAAGATAAAACTGAAGGTCAGTCTAAGGAGCCCATGGAAGACTCAACATTCTGAGCTAATTGGAGAAGAGATAAAACACCTGGATTTTCATGGGAATTGAGGGAGGAGGAAGATGTTATAGCCCCTCAAGGCTAATTGATTAACAGCCATGAAGTGTCAAGAAGAAGGGAGGAGTTAGTGAATCTAGAAAATGGACGATGGGTTATGTGGAAGAAGTTCAGAAGTTCTGTTCCTTGATAATGGGAGAGAAAAATAACTTGATGGTTTGAGTATGTGGCCTGAAGGAGAAAAAATGTAAGGGGCGAGAAAGAAGGAGCTGGGGCAAGCGAATATGTTCCTTATGTTAAAGCTTGAGCAATATAAACTGATTCTATGAAACTCCATTTTTCTAATAAAAATTAATTATACAAATCCTTACAAAAGGACTGGTCTCTTGAACAGCAGGGTTTGGCTAAATCCAGGAGGTGGAGAGGGCACAAATTAGCTATCTTTAAGAGTCCTACCTAACTGAGCTGTTGTGAGTTCTAAGGAATCACAAAGCCCATGTGTCTGTACTTGCAAAGTACAGTACTGGGTAAAAGTAAAGTGTTATTTTAAGGTCACACTTGTTCAAAGGGCTTATGCTACACCATGTCAGGTCTTGGGACTTGCCTCAGTGCAAAGGTGGTAGATAAGTGGCCTGTCGAACTCTCTGACCGAGTGCTAAGTACTCCTTAGGGAGATTGGGCACTGCAACCAGAAAAAGGGTCACCATAAGTCAGAATTGCCTTGACAGCACAGAATTAAAATTAAAATTATTTAATTGTGTTCTGGCTGTTCTGAAGTGATGAACCTCTCCCTTTGGCCCCCTCATCTCATTATTTCTTGTTCCAAAAATTGCTCAGGGCAGAACAGCAGCAACACTATGGGGCTTTGAGGGGGTGGCTCATGAAATGACATCTTTTTATCCTTTCCAGATGCTGCCATGTTGTCAGAGCTCAGGAAGCTGAATTTCAGCTTCATCCAAGAAAGTTGTAAAAATTCAACAGTCTCTTTAATAATTAAAGAATTAAGGAGTGCTTTTCTAACGGAATTTAAAACTTTACAAAAACATATTGATGAGAAAAATGAAGCAAGTGATAGAAAAGTGGAAGAAAAAATATCTCAACTAGAGTTAAAATTTCATTTGCAGCAAAATGTAAGGAGTAAGTATAAGAAAAGTCAAGCCAGCAACTTTCTTACTTACTTATCTGTTATATTTTTATCCCACCTTTCTTCTTACAAGGACCCAAGGCGGCTTACATTATTAAAAGACAATATTAAAGCTAACAACAGTGAGTTTACTGAAAAGCAAGGTACTTAGAATTAGGAAACACAGTCCTTGAGTCAAGGCAGACCAGGGCATCTCACAGGGAGAGTTGAAGAAATAACTTCCTGACCCCCATGTTTCAGGAAATGACAAGCGTCTGGTTGGTCCATCAGTCCTTCCTTCCTCAATAGATACACATGGCTACAAACATGTAGGTCTGAAAAAAAAAGCAAAACATGTTCTGGACAATGGAAAAATGTATCAAAATGCATGCACTAGGAAAAGAGCATAAAGCAATGCATATACAGTACAGTATTAGGAAATATTTGTATCAAAATACATTCCTTATGTGGAGGAAAGGGTCTTGCAATTTCTTAACAGATCTGGACAAGACAAGAATGCTGATTGGTTTCTGAAACATGCAACAGAAATGAAACTCAGGTTTGCACACCCCTGGCTTGAAATAGGAAAAAAACATGTTTATATGGAAGATGAGATTATGGGAATTCAGAATTATTTAGAACCTATTGTTGTACCCATTTCCACCACTCCTGACCCACAAAGTTCACACTTTTTCGGGGGTGCTATATTTGATTCTCATAATTAAAGGAAGTGGATGGGAAGAAATTGCTGAACACACTTTTCTCTGGCTTACATCATGGCTAGTTTAGTCCTGAGCAGCTAAGGTATTATTACGTTCCTGGGACCAAGTTATACCAATTACAGTAACTGCAATTCAGCAATTAACTGAAACAAGGAAGTGTCGGTCACATCAGTCCCCCCACTATTATGTGACAGATCATATATATACACTTGGCTTCTTTCAGATGCCTGTTGGAGACCTGACTCTCTATCCTGGCAAGAATTTCACGGCAGTTGCTACTACTTCTCAGAAACTGCAGAAAAATGGACAGATGCCAAAAATTTATGTGCATTGAGTAACTCTCACTTGATCATTATTAACAGCAGAAAGGAGCAGGTAAAGGACATTTTTGGTGATATTCTCTCTTTATAGAACCTTCTTTAGGCTTTGTTCCATTATACCCCACATCTTTCATTTTGTCTGCCTGCTTACACATGCAGAATCTAAAGACAGAAATACAAATATCACCACTCTGGTTGCTGGTAATGCCATTTCTTAATTCATTATTTAAATCACTTCTAATTTCAGCTGCAGTTCTATGCACTGGGGCGAGCAAAGCGTAACCCGCAATCACTGATAGAACTGAGGGTGGCAATTTTAGGGGATTAAAGGCTCCCTCCTGCCATTTCTGAGGTCCTCAAACCTTCCCTAAATCAAAGGAAATGCTTAGGGAGCCTTGGAAATTTTAAATTAAAGATTAAAATCCACATCTGATGATGTTGTCAGCCTTTGCAAGCACAGAGTAAGTTACTCAACAGGTTTTCAGTAACAGAAGTAAGTGTTAAGACTAAAGAAAAGGTTTGAGAATGAGTATAATCAGTTGTGGTAGGAACTTCAAGGGCATGGATTTAACATGACAGGAAGCGGTCTCTGTTTCTCCTCACAGTTTTCATGTGCTTAGCATTTAAGAAGACATGTTTTGTCCTAGGATTTTGTGATTGGAAATATAAAGAGCGTATCAATGTGGCTTGGCCTAAATGATGTGCACACAGAGGGAACCTGGCACTGGATTGATGGCTCGATACCAACCCAAACGTATGTATATGGATACGTCCTGAGCTCTTTCTGGAAACTTGTGAACAGAAGGCAGATCAGTATGGACACTATGAGGGATTTCAAAGGCTGATCCAGGACTCACAGGGCTAGAGGTTGGAATTTTGCTGAATTAGCTTCCTGGAACTATATATGTGCACCAGCATTAGCCTTTTTGAGCTGCAGAAGCAAGTATTTATTTATTAAATACTTAATTCTTAAAATAAATAAATAAATATTTGTGAGTTTGGGGTATGTTGTTTATATATTATGTTAGGACATAGTGGGTGGGGGTTAGGGTTGATATTATATTGTAATGACTGCCCAGAGTAGTGGTCCTCTTAAGCTGCCAATAATTATAAGTGTCAATAATTAATTAATTAATTTTTGCTACCAATGTTTATTCACCTGCTCTGGCTAGTAGCATAACAAGTCCCAAATAATAAAATATTATGTAACAGCAATCAAACAGTAAAAGAGAAGAAACATGCAGCTGAGAATCTGGATCACATAAAAACAAGAGCTTAATAAAAAAAATTTCAACACACAATAGCAGGAGAACAAAATCAGCTTAAAAGGCTAAATGTGTTCTAAAGTGAAAATCTTTGTCTGCCAGCAGAATTTTTGTATGGAGTAGAAAAGGGTATACCAAATGATCAATAGTTCTGTATCTTCCTTAGCTTAGAAAAAAGACACTTAAAAGGGATGATGGAGGCATCTGAAATTACACATGGTGTACAGAAAGTAGATAGAGGGCCTTTGTCTCGTTCTCACATAATTCTAGATCCAGGGGTCATTCATTGAAAACTAATGGTGGCTGGTTCAGGAAACACGAAAGGAAAAGTTCTTCCAACAGCATGTTGTCAAACTGTTAAATTTCACAAATGACAGTGACACAATTTGCAAGTTAGAAGGCTTTAAAAGGGGATTTGACACTCATATAGATAAAAAGATAGATGTTTCCACTCTTTGCACATGCTGGGGCCATTCCCCCCTTGACTGATTCTGTTCCATGCATTGCTTCGGGGGGGGGGGGCACATGAAGATCTTCACATAGCGATGTTTTTTTGGGAACGAATTTACATCGCTATGCGAGGCACCACTGTATACCGTAGGCAGAAGACTGTCAGAGAATTCAGCAAGTCCTTTGGGCCAGGATTTCACAATTCTTTGCTTAATTATCTCTTCTTAGATACTGGAGAAATGGTGAGCCAAATAATGATGGTGATGAAGACTGTGCTGCTCTGTACAACAATGGAAAATGGAATGACATTTCCTGTGATGTACAAGTCCACTATGGTTGTGAGAGGGAAGTTTGTGTGAACAACTGAGAAACAAAGAGTGAATCTCTCTATGGGAAATCCCTGAAGAATGTTGTACGTGGCTCTCTTCTTCAAATTTAGTTTGTCAACTGTAAATTATTGCTGCTCAAGGCCATCATTAGTGTTGTATTGGATGTCTAAATGTATTTGATTTAGTGCAACTTGTAGATTTCCCAGTCCAATTCTTGACTCTATGTAGAAATAGTTGCAGATCCTCCAGCAGTCAGCTCTTATGCCCTTCACAAATGAGCTCCTTCTGCTCTTCCAAGTCAGTCCTCTCTACAGTAGGGGTGCCCAAACTGCAGCCCGCATTGCCGTTTTGTCTGGCCTGTTCCAGTCAGCCCATGCGCGCGTGGGGGTGCGGGCAGGTGGCCCTGTGTGCATGTGTGCATCTGTGTATGGGGGCGGGCAGGGGTGTTGGGGGGGCAGGCAGGGATATGTATGTAAGTGCAGCCACAAGCATGTGCACTTCCACGTGCACACACACACATGCACATTTCTGTTCATTCAGCCATCAAAAACTTTAAAAATATCTGTTGTGGCCCTCACTATGAAAGTTTGGGGGACCCCTGCTCTACAATATATGAGTTTTCCAGTTATTCAATCAACCTTTTCAAATCATATTTGCCACCTTGCTGACATATGGACCCAAACTTATGGATGGAGTTACTAAAAGGAGAACGACAATTACTGTGTATCCTAAGACACAACCCTTAATTTTTGGCTTTCAACACTCAGAACACTTTCAGCATTTCACTTCCTAAAAGAGTACTTCACATATTTATTTCTGAGCCCTTGATCATACTCATTATTTTAGTCCAGTTTCACCAAGCAAGGTAATATAGATTCCCAGCCTGTTGTTTGCATCATTTTATATCTTGTAAATGACACTCAGTGTGCATCACATGCAGATTGCACTGAGGCAGTTTCCACTAAAAAAAAATTATTCTCAAAAATGGTGAAATAGTCACAAAAGTGCCACTTGAGCACTCCTCCCAGAACCAGATCTTCAAATCAAGAAGAGGACTATCTTGAGTAAATTGCCCCTACTCCATTCCTAGGAAAAAGGAGCCAAAACACTGTACAGCAGTTTCTTCTGTCACTTCGCTGTGGTCCTTTTCATCTTGAATCATCACAGCTATGTGAAGCTATTGATTCTATGATGCTTCTTAGTCTCTAGTATGAAAACTTTGGTAGTGTTTTAAATCTCCAGCAAATTTTTTCTACCTATTCTAGCTCTTTGAGATGTTCCATTTATGCTTTTAGTGTGATATTCAAATTTTAATGCTAAAAGTCAGATGAGAATGTATACTTCACTGTTAGAAATGCTAGCCATAATGTAACACTGCGTATTAGAATATACCTACAGCGAGCATATTCTTTGTTCCTTCATCCCCTTGTCCAAAGTACAGCATATTCAGGGTTGTGAGCCTCTTATATAAGTGTCACATCTGATGCTGAGAACAGAATCCATCACCTTGAAAATCCTTGCTTCCAAACTCCAAATTTGTTATCCTGATTGGATGGATCCTATTGCTGAGTAACATAAATCTCAGTATTGAATTGCTGCTAGTTAAGAATCTAATGTTTGTATTTCTTGTTGCACATCAGCTGTGTGACCTGGTGTATGACAAGAAATACAATTTGCAACTTCTTAATTGGCACCATTTTGTGGCTAAGATTTATATTCTTGGGTATACGCCAGAGTAAATATGTAATGGGATTCTTGCCATATTAAAAGAAAGACAACTTCGTAAGAGTTTTGATTATTTCTGGTGAAATTTCAGAAAGCAAAGTGTCACAGATGTTTCCTTTTGAGAATGGCTTGTTGAGAATGGCTGAGGAAATGTTCACCTTGTGGTTATCAGTTCTGTATAAGTTATTCATCAGAAAAGTACATTAGGATTTCCATATCCACAGGATCAGTATCCACTGACTTACTTATCCAGTCTGAAAATACTAAAAATATTAAAAGAAAAAAATCTAGAAAAAATATTTTCACCTGTATTACCTGAACTGGCCACCACGCTATGAATATTTGTTAGTGAAGAATACATAGCATGGTCTCTAGTGGCCAGTTCTGGTAATGCATGCGAAAATATTTTTTCTGTTTTTTCCCTTTTACCATAATATCTATCCATGCTATCTATCTATTGCTATTATCCATAGTTTTCAGTATCCACTGGGGCCTTAGAACCAATGCCCAAAGAAAAAAAATGTCCTACTGTAATCTGAAGATGTTTAGCAGGGTAGATAAAAATCAATTATTTTAAAAAATCATATTGATTTAAAACACAATTTAAATCATAATTTAAATTTTAAAAATCAATTTTTCAAATTTAAATAATCCAAAAATGAATTTTAAAAATAAAATTTGTTTTAAATTGTCATTTAAATTAATTTGATTTTAATCAAATCTAATCTTTAGTACAGTAATTCATAAATAATCAAACTTAAAGAAAGGAGAAGGCACAAAGGATTCTGTATTTAATTTTAAACTGGATGCTGAGTCTGAGACTTCAGATATTCTGTGTTGGATAGGCAGCTGCAAAGATAAATTGGACTATGTGTCAAAGAAATCCCAAGTAAAGGCTTGCATCTGATGTTCAGATGGAACACAAGGTATAAGAAATAAAGACATTCTAGTAACTCTTTGGCATAACAGCCATAAAAAATACATTGGTGTGAAGCATTCTGTCCTTTGTACACATGTCGCCAAAGACAGGGATGTTCCTCCACAGCACACATGGCTCTAACATATGGGATCTCAGCCAAACTATAGTTTTGTCTCAGGCCACCAATATTTCAAGAGATACTCTTGGATGAGGCTGCCAACATGTCATCCCTTTGAAGTGTGCTTAAATCACCTTTCACTTCAAACCTGAGCTTAGCATTATGTATGTTGGTATATATCACTATAGTTTAGAACAGAATAAAAGAATAGAGTTGTGTTTGGAACTACCACGCAGTTCAAAGCAGTAGATGCTTAGCTGCTTACAGGATACATTTTTTGCACTGAGAAGGGATATAAACTGCAGGAGACAAAATGAAAATACTGTAAGCTCCTTGCAAGAGTTTGGTATTCCAGATCTGGTAAAAGATGATTATCCAACTTGCATGGAACTCTTTTTCCCCATGTTATGCTTGTGTATCTACCTTCTAAACTTGATTGATTCTTTATACCAAGATATTTTATAATAAAGAAATGATTTCATGCTTGGTCTCAGAATGATCTTTTACTCTTTCATATTACAGTGAAAGCGGTTAAGCCTCAGGTTAGCACTTGAAATACAGGATCCAAATATACTCAGTTACATGCCCAGACTGGAGCTGGCAAAATACAGAGGGTACATCTTAAGTAAATACCTATCCTAAAATGTAAACATCTGTCACAAAAGATGCCAAGTTAATAATGAGACATTTCAAAGTGAACAATTCTAAAAACCTATTTGTGAAATACACTTTCTACCCAGTGCTCTGCATGCTATTAATACTGTACAACAATATACCCAGTTGTAATAATTGTAATAATCTCTTTTTTGCTTCTCTCTATCCACAAGTAGCACCTGGACAGTAGTCACGGTCTTACGTAATGGGATAAATCGTATTGAATGTCATTTACACAACAAAAATAGGCTACTACGAAGTGGGGAAGGTTTACTACAGTATTTGGACGAGTTATTGTGGAAAACAAACGAGTAAAAAAAAAATCACAGGGCGAAGGAACTTGGGGTACCCAGTGTGGTGACGGGCTGGGACTCAGGAGGCCTTGAAACTGACTGGGTGGTGGGGGTGGTGGAACTGATAACGCCTCTCCTCAAATACCTCACCCGCCTTGAAAGCCCTGTGAGGGTCGCTCGAAGTCAGTGTCCCGACCTGACGGCCCAGAGCTAACTTAACTGGGAACGACTTCCTTTTTCTGGGGCCATTCGTGTGCTGGCGGACATGTCACTGGTTGTAACGGACCCCCCCCCTCCCTGGGATTCTTCTTTCACGCACGAAGGCTGAACCCTATTAGAGCCACGTTCGCCCAGGTTCCCACCCCGCCCGCCCGGGGAACGACGCGCGTCGCCAAGGAGCGCCTTCGCCCGGCCCTTTTTTTTTTTTTTCATAAATCCCGCCAGATTGGAGGGGAGGCGGAGGGAGAGGAAACACCGCTTGCCGGAAGCTGAGCGACCGCTCTAGTTCTCTATCACCTGAAGCGAAGGGGGATCCTTCCGGTGTTGGGCGGAAGGGAAAAGAGGTTGGCTGGGTCGAAGGGCGGAAACGGGGGAGGAGGAGGAGGATTGGGACGGAGGGGGGGAGTCGCCGCCGCCGCCATGGGGGCTCATATGGTCCGGCGGTATTTCTTGTGCCCGGAGGAGGAACCCGATCCTTCAACGATCCCCAGCTTCGACCCCATGTACGGCTTTCCCGAGCGCAAGGAACGCGGTAAGCGGCGGCGGCGGCCGGAGGAGAAGCGAAGGTGACCCAACGCTTGGCTCCGCCTCGGCTTTTTCCCAGTCCCCTCCGCAGCAGCTGGAGCGCCGGGCTTTTGCCGGGGTCCTTTCGCTCCCCGCCCCCAGCTTGGCGTCAAGAGTGGCCTTTTCCTTTTCTTGGGTCTCCTCCGGTGGAAAGGAGCGCGCAAGGTGGAATCCGGCGCGGCGGCGGCGCCTGGGTCCCTCTTTTCGCACGGCCTTGCAAGTGACTTGTCTGTTCTCCGCATCCAGTCTCACCTCTGCCTACCTGGAAGGGGAGCGGTGATGAGAAAATATTACTTGGGGGGGCGGGGGCAGGGCAGGCATGTTTCCCTCAACGCTTTTGGCTCAGAACGTAGGAGAACATGGGAATGTTTTTTAAAAAAACGAACAGAAGTGACATTGGTCTTTCAACCCCCGCCTTCAAATCTTCCCTGTGCGGAAGAGACTTGAGCAGCGGTTCCCAATCTTGAGACTTCAGATATTCTTGGACTAAAACTCGCAGAAGTCTGGTGAGGCCAGGATTTCAGGGAGTTGTAGTCCACGAACATCTGGGGACCCAAGGTTGGGAACCACTGGTCTACTGAGTCTGAGACTCGTCCAGTAGTTAAACCGCTGTACTGCTGCAAAAACTGTACTCACAACCCTGGGTGTTTAAACCCAGGTAGCCGGCTCAAGGTTGACTCACCTTCCATCCTTCTGAGGTTGGTAAAATGAGTACCCAGCTCGCGGGGGGGGGGGGCAATGTGTAGCCTGCATAATTTTTAAATCACCCAGAGTGTGCTTTAAGCACTATTGGGCAGTATATGAACAGCATAGCACTTTGCTTTTTGTATGTGTTTGCTTTGTTTTTTGCTTTTGAAACATCAGTGGGGTGATATTCCCACTTTATTCTCCCCTGGTTCTGGTCCGTCTGGATTGTATGTGAATCTCCTTCCATATGTCGTATCTGCTAGTATCTTGGTTCTTGCCGCACGTCTCGTCTAGCACACCGAGTTGTGAAGAGTTTAGTGGCGTTAAGCAGTAGGCATTTCATAGTTAACACAGATGCTGAGATTTATGTAATGCTGCTCAGAGAGTGTGATTTCTCTGAACCATAAATTTGTTCAGCTTGGCAGGAATTCTTTATATCGACAAAAGCATTGTGGCATCTTAAATACTAATAAATTTCATTGTGAGCTTTCGAAGATTACAATTCAGTTCAGTTCAACTGGTATCTGAACTAGACTGTAATTCATAAAGGCTCACACTGAATTAAATTTATTAGGCCAGAATCTTGTGGAGTTGTGTAGCTGTTGAGAGACAGGTGCACAGAGGGTGCTAACTGGTTGCCTGTTAAGTATTGTAGTTGTGCTGGTGTTTGTGCAACCAGTTGTGTGACAAACAGCAGGTAAATCATAAACTGCTTGCATAGTTGCCTTTCTGTTCATGCAGTTGCAAATGTTTTGTTACTCACATATTCATTTCTTTGGTTTGTGTTGGAAGAACACAACAACAACAAAAAAACCAGAAGAAATGTCAAATCTGATACAAATCCCACACAGCAACCCAAAATTGCACTGGCCAAAATTATTGGCACCCTGTCTAAATTGTAAGAAATAACTGCTTTTCAAGCATTTCATGCTCCTTTAATTTGTATTTAGACACACCTGTCGCAAGTAAGAGGTGTGGGTAATATAGTAATCCCACTTGCAACCAGTTAAGATGGAGAAAAGTCGACTCAACCTTTGTGTTGGGTGTTGTATTGTATGTGGCACTGAGCATGGAGAAAAGAATGAAGTGTAAAAGGTTGTCTGTGAATTTGAGAGAAAAAAATTGTGGAAAACCATCAACAGTCTCAAAGCTACAAGTTCATCTCCAGAGATCTTAATATTCCTGTGTCCACTGTGCGTAATATCATCAAGAGGTTTTCAGCCCATGGCACTGTAGCTAACCTCCCTGGATGTGGACAGAAGAGCAAAATTACTGAAAAATTATAACAAAGTGTTGTTCAAATGGTGGATACAGAACCCATATTAACTTCCAAACAAATCCAGATCTGCAGACACAGGGTACAACAGTGTCAGTTCATACTATCCATTGCCATCTGAATTAAAGGATATGGAAGGAGACCCAGGAGGACACCACTGCTGACACAAAGGCATAAAAAAGCAAGACGGTAGTATGCCAAAACTTATGTGACAAAACCACAGTCCTTCTGGGAAAATGTACTGTGGACAAATGAGACAAAAGTAGAGCTTTTTGATCAAGGACATCATGGGACTATTTACAGAAAAAGAAATGAGGCATTCAAAGAAAAAAATGGTGGAATCAGTCAAACATTGTGGAGGTTAAAGATGTTTTGGGGTTGCTTTGCTGCTTCTGGCACTAGATGCCTGGACTGTGTGAATGGTATCATGAAATCTGATGATTACCAAAGAATTTGGGGGTGCAACATAGTGGCCAATGTCAAAAAGTTGTCTCTCCACCAGAGGTCATGGGTCTTCCAGCAGGACAATGACCTGAAACACACTTCAAAAAGCACTCAGAAATGGTTACGAACAAAGCGCTGGAAAGTTCTGAAATGGTCAGTAATGAGTTCAGATCTGAATCCCACAGAACACCTGTGGAGAGATCTCAAAACAGCAGTTGAGAGAA